CTTGGAACCATCACAAATACTATTTTCAAGATGGGTCTTTAGCCTCCACACAGTTCGTCAAACGTCTGACAAACGTTCGGCAGAGAATCGAGATTTCCACTTAATAACAGATTTCCACTCTAAATCTAGTCGTCAACTCGAAAAATATTTTGGAAAAGGTCCCCGTACCATAAGCCAATTTCCACTCCAGAGGATCCTAACAGTGCATCAGGCGAAATCCTTCTAGGACATACGAAATGAGAGTGGTCAAAGAACGCTGTACCAAGACCCTCCCTGAATTCATTGAACACGACGTCTGGGCGTCCAGCTCTCTGCACCTTCATCCCATGGATTTTCTGTCAGAGCCACCTCAGAGGAAAACCTGCTCGAGACACCTATGTTTGAACTTTCCTAAAACAGCACTATTGGAATCCCAAAGATGGACTGATGATCAGCACCTGTGGCCGAAAGCAAAATGTTCGTCAATTCTGAAGGGCTAAGTGGTGAAAGTTGAAGACTACCATTTTGAGAACTAACGCTAATTTCGATATTGTAATATTTTCCAAAAATGACATCCACAGCTAGATGAATCTGAAACGCCATCTAAACCACTTATTTTGCCCCACTATGCAAGTTTTCGGGGGCGACGTGGAACTTACAGATCCAACTAATAGAAAATGTCGAGGGAGAAATTCTAGCCGGCGAATTTCATGGAATTGTTTCACACAATGCAATTCCGTTCCCTGATTGTCGTACACGTACGTGTAATGCCGTTGAGCAACAGCGTACAGATTTTCCGTGTGTAACCACCTAAAAGATTCAATCAGTCAGATAGGAGGGGAACTACACCAGGAGTCACACTGAAACGAATGCTGATGAAAGATCAAAACGCTCACTGGACATCTCGAACTGTCTCCATTACATTGGTCTCGCAGTGCAGTTTCTTGGTTTGCCAGTCCAATGCTGCGATATGACCCTTTTTGCCACCTATTAAAAGGTGACGCCCATTGTCAGTGTATGAAATCCGGTACGGACCAAAATTCTCAAGATGAAGTTCGAAGTACTGTAATGAATAAAATTGAAACTTTACGGTAAAATGGGAGTTTCTTCAGAATCGGGAAGAAATGAGGAGTAACCTTGCTTGCGTTGGCAATGTCGACTGCATCAGCGATTTCCTTTTGTCTAATTACATATGTAGGTTCGCCTTCGTCTCCTTCAATGAAACCCTCCTGCAAAAACAGTCAAAAATAGAAATGCTTTATGTACAAAATTTGTCTGCAAAAAACAGGCATTCGGCTTAGAGGGGGCAGGGAGGGGGCGGGGTAGGGACAGGCACCAATTCGTTCGGCTTAGAGGGGGAAGGAGGGGCGGAGTAGGACTTGCGCGTTCTCTAGTTTTTTTGCAGGTTCTTGTAAATCACATGTTTCATTTGGACCTGTAGACCCTTGTCAAGTGTAAACGGTGCTCCTACTATTAATACCTTCATGAAAGCCAGTAGGTCTTCACATTAGGCATTGACAGTGATTGATGGGAACTAGACTAAAGCCCCCACCAGCCGAAATGCGCTCACTTTGGGCTCAGTTCATAAGAAAAGTGAAAAAAGTCAGCTTCAGTCGCAGTAACGAAGTCCATCAGCAGCTTTACTGTATCCGAAAAAATGTAAGCCTAAGCGAGCATGTTAAGTAAATGAAGCAAAACTGATTCCTTGATGATCTCATTCTTATTTACTTCTCTACACACCGACACACCACGTAAGAAATTCCTGCGAAAGGAGAGATTGACGGATCGAGCTATATCTTTTCCTGAAGTTAAGAGGACAGCGGAAGGCTACCTGCACTGAAAAATGTTGCGTTTCAATTCATAGGGATACAGGAAGGCTATGCCAACACCTCGTGTACCCTTCAACAATAAGTGCCAAAGTGAAAAAGAATCTGTAGTAGAGTCCTGCCAAAACGGCCCTATAAACCAAGGGCGGTATCCAATCAGACCTCACCTCTTCTCTATTCAATAGTTCCGCTCGAGCCGTCTTCTCTGATCGCTGCATTAGTTTTCGCTTCTTCATAGCGAACTTCTCCTTATGAAAAACACTTCGCATGTTCTCCGGATTGAGAGCAGCCACACCTTGGGAGTTTTTATTACGAGAAACCAGAACAAAAACCACTTGATAACTGCATACCTGTGTCATGTTTCGCGATGCGTGTGGCATCTACAGGGACATCGGTCTTCGACTCGGTCTTTACATCTTCGGAACCACTTAAAACAGAGATAATTTAGTGTTGAGCAATCGGTACACGGCAACTTGCTTCAACAGTGGTATAAGTAAATGGAAACGCTGAGCGATCCCATAACGCCACCTCACCCGTCGCCCGCTTAGGCGCTGGTACAGTTGAGCGCGTGCCACATGGCAAAACTATAAACGCAAGCCCAGGTCTTCTGCGATCACTATCTCGCCGCGTGTTTTCCCCAACTATAGTCGTTTCTAATTTCTCGTCAAGAAAAAAACTTTAGCCCTCACCATACCATATTTCTCACATGTGATCCAGCGTGCTTGAACAAAAAAAAAATATAACGGCAGAGTATTGACTTGGTGAACTTATGGAACCATCAGCAAAAACAAGAAGTACACCACATGTCCAGTTTCTACACTGTATCCCCGCATTTGTTTGCCACGTTTTTATAATTGGAACAGCCAGTCCCGCACAGTTCCCCTGAACTGCTTTCCAGATAAGTTACAGAATCGAGGAAAAGAACTTTTTTGAGACGACCCTTCCTCGGTCCTCTAATTCCAGTAGCCGCGAAGAGGAGTTGTATACCGCGCCTGAAGAAAGCGACTATTATCCCAAAAACACCAAGCTAGATATATCATTTTCCCTTCCTAAGCGACCAAACGCAACCACCCTCCCCCCCCTGTCCCAACATAGATTTCACTCCCAAGGGGTTTACCATTTCCACGAGTGGCAACTCCCTGTCGGGTCATCCACCCACAGCTTTCGTCGGTCGCTACGACGATTAGGATGATGTCAAGGCTTCCTTTCAATGTGAATAAGGAATAAAATATTGATCAGGTACTCTGCGTTTTTTTTGGAAGGTGAGCTAGAGTTTTTAGAAAAGTTGTTTTGGGAAGTTTTAGCACTTATGAGTTATGCATTAATAAATTTGTTTGGCTCAATAACATGTCCTGAAGTGCAGTAAGTCAGAAATTCGGTCAGTAAAATCATACTTGGAGATTAGAGCAACTTCATTAGATATGCTTGCCGCCGCAACCGGTGGTGGCCTGGGCTCTGCGGACAAGTCGGGGACGAACAAACTTTTGCTGTTTTGTAGTAGTTCTTCTACCCATGCCTCTCTCTCTCTCTATCTCTGATTGCACGACTGTCTCCACATACGGGGGAATCATGTTTCTAGAAGGGTGCCTATATAGAACAGAAGATGGTGGAAAATGCAGAGCGCAATCGGAAGGAAGAAGGTCAAAACAATCGTAATTTGTCCCAACGTCGATTCGCCACGCCGGCGACGCCAGCCTGCGTAGCGAATTGCGAATGGGCAGGCTTACTTATATTGTGCTGCATCAAGCTAGGGATCATTTCCACAGCTGCACTTAAAAACTCATCCATGCCGCAAGTCATACTTACCGAAGCGATCCACTGAAGGATGAGGCCGAAACATCATGCTCCCTTTTCTTAGGAAATGTCCTACGTTTACTCGCTTTCTTCTCATTTTCATCCGGTTTTGATTCGATCTTAATCTCAACAGACTTCTGACTTCTTCTCTCCTCAACGGGAGGTCGAATGACAGAGACCATCAACACAAGTAACCTTCAAAATTTCATTAATTTTTCCAGACTATAAGGCGCGAAGACTCTGATATGCAGTATGTTCAGAGATACTCTCACTAAACAACATTTCAGCTACATGACTAGCACATATAACAAATACTTTATGCACTCAAGAAATAATCGGTTATTAAATCAAATAATCCTAAATTGCTGAAAATTACGTAGATTTAGTACATCCACAATGAAAGAAAGAAAACTCGTGATCACAGCTCGCATATCTAATTTCTTTGTATTTAGAATGCACAAAAGAACACACGAATAAAGTCAATAGATTATTCTGGTCATGCGCATAGGCTGGAATTCAATCGTGATTTGACTCAATTTAAACTATTAGGGTGCCAGTCAGTGAATCTAGGCGACTAACTACAAGGTAGAAAGGACAGAAAAGCAACTCTCACTTCGTAATACGAATCCTTGAGCTGTGTACCACCCAGCAGAAGACCGTAATAAGACACAACAGATGATGTATAATTCATAGCTAACCATGACTCAGTGGACCAGAACGAAACCGGGCAGATATCGCAAGAAAGAGAATTCGAAACAACTAAGCTGCAAATGACTTCAAATGAAACTCAGCTAAGGAAACAAGGAGCTGCCGTTCTATAGCACGGGACTGAAGCTGATGAACTACCACGTGCTGAGCTACGCAGGAAATCAAGAGCCTGAAACTGGAACAATTCACAGTCGGTCCTTTTCTGAACAAAGATACAAACGAAAGGTGGATTTCTACGCAACGGACAATCAGATTTAATGCAGTCTTGTCGCTACGGATGCTGGGGAGTGTCAAGGGTATGAGCTTGGCGCAACGCCAGCCTACTTATTTTTTCGGTGAGTGGCAAGGCTGCACCATACTGTTTGTACCAGCCGCTTTGACTCAAATGTTGTCGTTTACCCGCCTCCACAATTGGTGAAGAACTGGCTGGTGGAGCACCGCACCCCCCCCCCCCAGCTTCACAGCGAACAAGACTGTACAAGACTGTATCCTACAAAGAAAAAACAAGACTAACATGCTTACACTTTTTGTTGCGATGGCAAGAGGAGTAAGTCTGATGACATGAAGCGGGACCATTTCCCTATCACATGAATTAATTATTAATCTCGCGTTTCAGATGTTGTAAAAATTCGACATAGGAGTGCGTGGACTC